CACTCGGACACGACTGCGGGAGCCGGGATAAACGTAAATGCGTGGGTAATGTAAACCTCAATAAGCGATCACCCAATCGCAAGCTTGTAACGACTGAGAACCACATGGTCAACACTTGGGGACTTAGTGCCATATATTCTGCTGTGATGTGGTGTGAGGGAGGACAACTCCGAAATAGGTACCGTAGCAGGCGCTCCATCCGCTTTGTACCCCAATGAGCAGTGATGCTGATCCACAAACATGCAGCAGAGCAGTCATACGATCAGTTCGCAGCCAGTCGTGCCGGAACCAGCCGGTCCTGGGCAGTAGCTGCCGACGGCGGACGGGAGCAGGACTCAGACAAGGAATGACAAAGAAAAACAAGAGATGCGCGGCATAGCTGTTGGTATAACTTCGTCCATGGTAATGCTCGCAAGAGGGCAGAGTAATCACCTCTGGTAGGACTGGAATTCACTCGAAATGACCTCTTGCTAGTCCAGCGTTGATTAATATGGTCACTGCGCTGGAATTAGTGCCTCACTGGTATATGTGGCTGATGCCCAAGTTATTCAGACCGTTGCACAGCTAATCACACCTCACACAAGAACCATGAACCTGATTTCGGACGCTGAATGCTGTCATAAAATTATTTTACGATCCATTTGGGTCACTCCTTCCACCAATGAGGATATAATGGTTCGACGAATAACTGCATTAACAAGCGGATTCTTTCCAGAATACCCTTGAAACAGCACTTACACTTATTACACTGACACAGACAAACACCATTTTACTTCGTATGTTGCAAGCACTGATGCGTAAGAGAGGCGGGCCAGGGCGCCATGGCGTATACATGGGTGGGAGATGTAGCCCACTGCAAACAAGTTGCCATCCTTTTGGCTGACTTTGGTCCGTCCCGCTGGCAGCTCACCTATATGGTGTAACCAGCAGAGGATTCATCGGCACAACAACCACTCTTTGCAAATCAGGTACAAATGCCTGTTTCTGCAGCGACCACGAGCGCGAGAAAGGTTGCAATGCGCATATGATCATTAAATGCTGACAACAATGGACACGCTTCAAATTTTTCGAGCGGCGCTTAAACGTCAAGTGTTGTACGTCTGGAAGCTTATAACCAAGTTAGCAGATCGCTTTACGCTAAACAATAAGTAGCGCGTAGTGACGGTTACAACCCGTGTTCGCTATTATCGTCTGATTCATTCATTTCACTCCGAGGTTATGTGGTTTCCTTTGATAGTCCATTGAGAACGAGCCAAGACGCGCTGATGCTGGCGGCTGTGGCATGACATTGCGGGGCACGTTAAAACCCGCCGGCAAAAATGCCCGGTCTAATTGAGTTAACGCTTTCGTGAACTAGCGCTGTGCTTGCTTGGCAACGCTTGGCAATGATCGACGACGACACGACAGCCAACGACTGACGTCTGTGATCTCTAATCCGTCTTGCGAATGAAACCCTCAATTGTGAATGAGTGCGATCGACCCGGGCGATCCGGGTCTGGCCGGAAGTCGGTGACCTTGGCCGTCGGGCCGGCGGCGGAGGCGCCCAGAGTTCGGCTCTTACGTCCTCGCGTCTAGCGGACGGGACTTCTGCGACGCTAAGCGGCCGACCAAATGTCAGCCACCGCGAAAAAGGCGATAGTTCATGCATCCCGCTCACTCGGCAGCCTGTCTGGACAACAGTCGGAGAAGTCGAGTCGTAAACATCGCGGCTTCATTTTTATCAATAGTCAAACAGAAATGTTTGGTCCTTTGAAGCGGATGCAAAGCGCAAATCCCCTTCATAGGCGAAAGGCCGGAAGCCAAATATTCTACAGTACATTCAAATGTGGCTGGACTAGCTTGAGACTAAAATGATGCCTGCAGGGCAGCGGTTGTCACAACCAGAAGCTCACCAGAGCTTTGCCAGCAACTGTCCAAAACACCCCAGCAATCTGAACTGTGATACGATTTTGATAAGCACCGGTCTGCAAACACATTGTCAGATAGCGGTGCGGAAGTAGGAGTCGGCGGCCGCTGCCATGTAAAACTGTCCCGCAGTCGCACAAACGCCCTGCAGGTTGCAAACTCTGCCGTAGGTGGGTTGAAGCGACGCAGTCGAAGTCGAGCCGCCAGGACGCAAGGGGTGCCTGGGGGTCGTCTCAGCGCGGACAGGTGCAAGGCGCGTGTCGGTCTCGCAGGGAACGAAATCAAACCCCAGCGCAAAACAACTTCATGGCAAAAGTTTATGTTTATTCGTTGTCCGTGAGCACAGGAGCTATCCAAAAGTTTGAGTTTCTAAGCACGACATGCATTATTAACCAAGCACGTTCCCAACGACAGCACAAGTTTAATACTAGCACCCTCGACATCAGGTCGGTAGTCGATCATCTTGTAATAAACTCGCGTCTCGCGTCGCGTCGGAGTCTCCTGACATGTTCACCCAATGAAAGCCTCTGTGCTGCTTTTGCGGTCAAACAATCATTTGGAAATATGTTTGTTTTGCCGTGTCCCTGCTAGATTAGATGATAAACACGTTTGCTGGAGTGCATTAGAGGACATATGTATGGAGGATGCAAGGAATTTCAGGAATTACAGGAATCCAGACTCAATCGAGGCCGTCTGTTCACTTATTTACGTTTCCAGGCGAGAGACAGCCTGAAGCCTCCACAGCTGACACATCGAGCATTATGCATTGAGCATTCCTTACTTGTCTCCCTCGCTGCAGGCTCCCGCCGACAATCTTGAATTTTCTGGGGCCGCTTTCATTCAAAAGACGTGACATCGGCCTCCAGCAGCCTGAGCCGCCTCCTCTCCAGGCACCAAGTTTAAACTGAAGCTTTATTGAGACTGTGGGTGTTTGAACAAATACACTACGGGGCCCACGCGCCGCGTCCATCGCGCGGCCACACGACCTGGTTCATGCCGTCTCCATTCATCTAATAAGCGCGCCGGGCCGCATTCCCGCCCGTCCCGCCGGCTCTCGAAGCCACCGCTAGAGGCTTTCGGAGCATGAGAACCCCTAACGCGATAGCATCGATAACAGAAAATCACCAGCCAATCGGGCTTCCGGCCAAAACTTTACGTCGCGGTCGTGCGCTAACTTTCCTGGTTAGCATAATTACGGTCGGCCAATCCTGCGGGCGGGCTGATGCCCTCGGCGGCGGCCGCGGACCGTATCTGCCGAGATCTGTCGGCCGGACCGGGCCGGGCCGACATGACCTGCGGCCGGCGCGGCGACCCGCACGCTACGGATGAGCTCTGCAGGCGCGCGCCATGAATCATTCAGAAATAATGTGCGCGCGCCCGGCTCGTCCGTCGGCGTATTATGAGGCGTATTTCACGCCGACCTCGGCCACGCGGAGACCAGTTCACGTCAATGGCCGCAGGCCAGTGGAGGCCATTAAATCGGCCGGCATACAGCGTGGCGAAGAGAAATGTCACGAGTTCGCTGACAGCTTCTAAGAACCGCTCCGCACGCTTAACTTATGATCAACCGGAGCGCGATCAAAGTGATTGAAAACGTCCGGAAAGGTGTCCCGGGCTGCTCTGGTGTCTGTCGCCACGCTGATGCCGAGGGTGACGTTGATTGATCTCGTGCGTGTTACAATAAATTTCAAAATCGCCCCGCGGTACATACTAATTGATTGGGGACATTCTTCGCGAGCTCCTCCTCTTAGGTTGACATTTATCTGTAAGTCGAGATGTCATCCAAATTGGGCATGTCCAACTGGGGTCACCGAGCCAGTTTTCACAAATTATTCTTCAGTAGCTCAAACCTTCCATTTGAAACGACCACCAGTGTAATTCTCCCATCGATCATAACTGCAGTCACACCATTGGTCCGTAAGACTTTGTGACTAAATCGCACCTGCACTTAGGATATCTTATCCCGATAGAACTGTGTTACTCAGAACACCTCGGTTCAGCGGAATATTGTTAAATTAGACTTCGGAACACGAGACAAGCACTGCTATCAGCAACCCGAGGCTAACACGATGGCCGATTGGTTTGGCCGTTTAAACTGATTGGCTAGATGCCAGCAGATTTACGGCTGCCGCCATCTTTAAAGTGAAACGGTGCCGGTCGATGTTTCCGGCTATAGTTATCATGCTTTGATATCCATTCAAAGGACTTGTTCACGTAAGGTGTTCTGTGTACATGCGAGGAACATTACACATGCACGAGGGAAGTGCTGTTGAGCTTATCCGTCGTTGAATAAGCAAGGGAATATTGCTGCATTGCTCTTTCAGTTGCAATCCCTTGTCGAAGCATCGATAAACAGTGAGTTTGAAATATGCCCGTCGATTGTATTAAATATTTCTTTAGTGAAACAGCGAGTCACATTTTTAACAGGTCACTAGCATCTTGGGGTTATACAGGAGATAAATACCAGACGTTATTACGATTTATTGTATACCTCACTAATGAAGTGTTAAAATGCGCATAAATACAAACGATCTGTAGTAAACACACATCACGCATCAAGCCACTAATCACAAGCAGAATCGGCGGTGATGAGCCCGTACGTTAAGCTTTGGTCACCGACCTTTTATGAGAACAGATTCAGTGGTTCTCCTACCTGGAAGATCCTGTGTTACGTGAGACTGGATTCTAAGGGGTCCGTGCCTGCCTGGATTTCAACCTGTGCGTTGTGACAAAAACTGGTCACCGAAAGTCATCTCCTCTGTCTGATTGTTGACGTCATGCAGGTCTTCATTCCAGTACATGAATTGCGATATGACTTGGGTAGCCCAGGCGCATTTCTAGCGTGACGTGCCGTGATGACTAGTCCCAGGCAGCCATCGCAGTGTGCTCTCGGGACCGCCGCCAAAGGCCGAACTCTCCCGCACAGTCGATGCTTGAATTGCAAGATCAAGCGGTACCCAAGTGCACACAATATGAAATGTAACACAGCTTCCTCCAGACAGGATGCTCGTCAAGAACACTAAACACACGCTATCTTCCTCAAACCCAAGTCATCAGCTCGAGCTGGATGACCATCATCAGAAAGGAAACGCATGTAACACGTGGAGCAATATATTCCGATGAACAATGACAAAATACAAAATCACGCGGTGCAATGTTCCTGGAAACCGAACTGTGCAAATCACAATGTGGAGCGTGCTTGCGTTTCCACACCCGCAGAGTCCGGCAATGTTCCAACCTAGATCAGTTGAACTTGCAGTTCGAGAAGTCCATCTCAGGATGCTGCTGCATAAACCTGAAACAAGAAGATTATTCAGATGGATCACACAGGTAAATCTGCCACGACCGGTCCCCCCGCCCGAGTGTGCCACGTGATGAGCGTGCCAGATAACATGGTCCGGACTTCCGTCCTTATCTGGTATGTCCTCGTCTGGTGCGTCCTCGTCTGGTGTGTCCACGTCTGGTGTGTCCACGTCTGGTGTGTCCACGTCTGGTGTGTCCTTGTTGTATGTCCTCGTCTGGGTGTGTCCACGTCTGGTGTGTCCTCGTCTGGTGTGTCCACGTCTGGTGTGTCCTCGTCTGGTGTGTCCTCGTCTGGTGTGTCCACGTCTGGTGTGTCCTCGTCTGGTGGTCCTCGTCTGGTGTGTCCTCGTCTGGTGTGTCCACGTCTGGTGTGTCCTCGTCTGGTGTGTCCTCGTCTGGTGTGTCCACACAGGTAAATCTGCCACGACCGGTCCCCCGACGAGTGTGCCACGTGTGGTGTGTCCTCGTCTGGTGTGTCCTCGTCTGGTGTGTCCTCGTCTGGTGTGTCCTCGTCTGGTGTGTCCTCGTCTGGTGTGTCCTCGTCTGGTGTGTCCACGTCTGGTGTGTCCTCGTCTGGTGTGTCCTCGTCTGGTGTGTCCTCGTCTGGTAGGTTAGTATGTACGCATACTGCGTGCATACGACCACACTAGACGAGGGTGATAGTCCTCGTTTGAACGATAGTCCTTGACCTGTCTCGATCCCCCCTTAAAACCGCTAGATAAGTGTAGTTGCATGAAGTGGTAGTGAAATTGTATTTGTGAGTTTCAGGGGTGTCGAAAATACAGTTATTGATCGGCGCATTGATCAACATCAATAGTACATTTACACAGTCGATGAATTGCACTTCAATTTGGAGCCCCAAAACGCACGACTCCCAACACAACTTACAACCTCCACATAGGGACAACACGACACGAAAGAACATCGTCACCACAAGGAGCGCATTGGCAGAGTGGTCACCGTAGAGCCTTCGGCTTCCACTTGGAGGTCCCGAGCTCAAATCTCGTTTGCGCCGCGGCCCCAGTCACTACGGCCACTGCAGCCGCTGGCGCCGCACGAAAGGGCCAGCGACGATGTTTGTCGCGTCCTCTCATTCCCCAGACAAACCATGACCTGCTCAAAGATCACCAGCTACACTGCGGCCCCACCGTCGTCTCACAACACGAACACGGCCAGATGGCGCGTCAGCCGCTCGCCGTCGGCCGGCATTGGCCTGGCCGCCACGGGAGACGGCTGGCGGCCGCCAGACGCCGCCGGCCCTCTGGCGCCGCCGAGCTGGCCGCCGCCGCCGCCCGGGCCTGGCCGCGGCGGGGGCGGACCGGCAATCAATCGCCCCCGTCCGGCTCCAGACCGCCCGCCCGCCCCCGTCTGGCTCCAGCCCGACCCATCACCGAAACTCCGCAATGGCCCACCCCGGCCGGCCGCCCTCCAAGCGGCTGACGCCCGGAAGCAGCCGCACTCTTACCAGCCTGCTCTCGGCCGGCGGCACTGTGATCGGTCTGCTCTCGGACACCGGCACTCTGGTCGGCCTGCTCTCGGACGGCGGCACTCTGATCGGTCTGCTCTCGGACGGCGACACTCTGATCGGTCTGCTCTCGGACGGCGGCACTTTGGTCGGCTTGCTCTCGGACGGCGGCACTCTGATCGGCCTGCTCTCGGACGACGGCACTCTGATCGGCCTGCTCTCGGACGGCAGCACTCTGATCGGCCTGCTCTCGGACGGCGGCACTCTGATCGGCCTGCTCTCGGACACCGACACTCTGGTCGCCCTGCCCTCGGACACCGGCACTTTGGTCGGCCTGCTCTCGGACGGCGGCGCTCTGATCGGCCTGCTCTCGGACGGCGGCACTCTGATCTGATCGGCCTGCTCTCGGACGGCGGCACTCTGATCGGCCTGCTCTCGGACGGCGGCACTCTGATCGGCCTGCTCTCGGACGGCGGCACTCTGATCGGCCTGCTCTCGGACGGCGGCACTTTGGTCGGCTTGCTCTCGGACGGCGGCACTCTGATCGGCCTGCTCTCGGACGGCGGCACTCTGATCGGCCTGCTCTCGGACGGCGGCACTCTGATCGGCCTGCTCTCAGACGGCGGCACTGGTCGTCGCACCCCCGGACGGCTCATCGCCCTATAAAAAATGACTGACCGTGCTATCAGCCGCGGCGTAGCGGCGCGGCTTCGCCGCTCTGGCAGGAGCGCCCGGGCAGCCCAGAGCAGATCAGACACGTCAAAGAGGGCTATCAGACCGGTGAACAAGTGTTTGCGTATCTACGCAAACTACTAATTCACGACCGTGCAACATGAAACCGACTGCGGAGGTAAACCCCGGAACAGCAAAACATCCATCTCCTTGTAATGATCTCGGCTTTGGGGCACGTCGCCCACAGTGCCACTATGTGGCCACGCGATCATGTAATGGACTTAATCTATCCGCGGATTATTGCAGGCCACTTGAATCATGGCTGTCAACCGCAGGGATCCTGCGAAAGACCTCCGGGGCCGGGCACGTTGCATGAGGAGCGACGGTGCTGGCCCTAGCAGCGCTGGCGCGTACAGATATATAACCCAACCCAAAGTAAGGAAACAAGTACGTCACTGACAAACTAGGTAGCTAGACAGCTTGAAATGTCAACACACTACACACACACACACACACACACGGAACGAAATGCTCGTATTGGTCATGTGATCAAATGTCTCCGTTCGAAATGCAGTTCTACGCGATGATTTGTACAAATAGCATCAGGCTAGAATGTGTCGATCAGAATCCATGTCGAACTAAAAGGGCCTATAAGTACTCAAACTTGTATAAGTACCAAACAAAAATAGTTCAACCAATAAGCTTTACTGTCTTTTAACCGGACAGGATTGCAGAGGAGCCTGTGCCGCTCTACAGAGTGCCACACATCTTGCCAAGTCTACTCTCTCAGCCAAGTTGTCAAGTGACCGTAGGACCACAAAAGAAAGAGCAAGTCCTGTTCCATGACGCCCGTGCGGTTCAACTACGACATCCAGTCCCCTCACTTTGATGAGGCGGCAACTCGAGGAGCAACTTGAGAAATCTCCATAATTATAAGCACATCTTCTTGATGAACTTACATTTAAAATGACGAAAACATGGTCCCAGTAGGCTTTTTTTATCTTGGACCGAAAGGGCTTCATTACAAAAGCCCACTGTTTTTACACCCTCTCGTACTTCATCAAGGCCAGCGCACTCATTAACCGACCCAAGCCATGTCCTCCAGAACCCCTTGAATGCGGCAAAAATACGAAACACGAACCGAAAAACCTAAAACAAGTCCGCCACTCGCGAAGCAGACAGCGACGGCCGCCGCCGCGCGTCGATCGCCTGGACGCAGACACCGACGGTGAGCTCCAGCTGAACACCACGCACGGCAGCACGGAGCCCGCTGTCTGATGCGTGCGTGACGCAGCACGGAGCCGGCTATGCGATGCGTGCGTGACGCAGACGGCAGCACGGAGCCGGCTGTCCGATGCGTGCGTCACGCAGACGAATGTCGGCACGCTGTCGCTGTCGGGTGTGTACGCGTGACGGGCGCAGTCGTCGGGAGAGCTGCTGGGCGCACCCCTCGCCGTCGGATGGGCGGGCGCAACAGGCGCATCGGCCGGGGGGGGGGGGGGGGGAGGAGTGCGGGTTCATCTGCTGGGGGAGTGCGCCGGCTACGGCTGACCCAGCGGCAACTCACACGGAGAGTGCGACCTGGGCGTCGTGTCGCACGCTCGCGGATGGCTGCGTGACGGACACGGCCGACAGCTGGGCGTGCGGACGGCTGACACGGCCGACAGCTGGGCGTGCGGGCGACTCACACGGCCGACAGCTGGGCGTGCGGACCACTGACACGGCCGACAGCTGGGCGTGCGAGGGGCTAACACGGCCGACAGCTGGGCGATTGAGACACCGACGGGCCGTCCGGGGGCCGTCATGTGCGTCCGCGCCGCAGCGGCCGGCGGCGACCGGGGCGGGGCTGTCTGTCGGCGCTGTCGGCCGGCGCCGCGCCGCCCGGGCCGCCCGGCCGGCGCCGGCGGCCGCCGAGACAGGCCTGACGGCCGCCGCCGGCCGCCGCGAATTGCATTAGCGCCGCTCCCGGTCAAACGCGGCAGCGGCCGGACCGGGCCGGCGGTCCGCGGTCGGCCGGCCGCCGCAGACCGGACCCGTGCCGTGAGCTCGACGGGGGTCACCTGCTACGCACTGGCAGTCATTATTTCAGCTGCCGAACTTGTCGTCGTCGTTGTCATTGGAGCTTTATGACGCACGTAGCTGCTGAGGTCCTTTGGCGGCGCCCGTCTCTTGGGCTGGTAGAAAGGGCGAGCACCGCGAGGAATCGAATCCCGTGCCTCTGGTTTACCAGAAACGCAATGGTTAGCGCAGATGCGTGAACCAAAACACTATCGACACCCCAGGTGCTGAACACAAGCTGTGTCCCATTCACAGATGCCTCACGCCCTGAACGCTATGGAGGGGGGGGGGGGAGGGGGGACAACGATCTAGTAAGACGCTTGGGTACAGCACAAGGATTGCAGCAAAAACACATACCCAGCTGCAACGTCTCCCCAAGCCGTGCATGAAACCCACAACGGAACGCGGGCCAGCTTCCTCGCCGCGGCCTGGAGCACCAGGCAAACTGATGTGCCTTCAGGGAGCACCAGACCCTCGCCAGAGAGCCGCGGCGGCGGTGTGCCTCTCGTCCGATATGCAGCCACAGCGGCCGCGCCGGGCAGGCGCCACGGGCGCAGGCGGGGGCCGAGTCGTCCCAAAGGCAGGCTCAGCTCGGACGCTGCATGCGGTCTGGGCGAAGGGTGACGCCTTACACCCGGAGCACGAGGACGAAGCACCAGCTGGCGTGGCACCCATCGCTCGAGCACCAGCTCAGGTGACACACGGAGACAGGAGCACCAGCTCACGTGACACCCGGAGACAGGAGCACCAGCTCACGTGATACCCGGAGACAGGAGCACCAGCTCACGTGACACCCG